GAGGGATTGATAAAAAAATAAAAAAACTTATTTGAAGGATCCCTCAACTAAAGAACACGATCGCTAATATAACTTAGATCTACCCAGTACTTTAGGCCCTGTTTGGTATCCTACTCAAAAATGAAAACTAAAAAGCTATGATTCTTTTTTTTAAACATGAGTTTTTAAATAGTGATTTTAAGATCTAAAAACTTGTTTGGTATTGAACTCCAAACTATTTTTAAGATCTACAAAAAATCAGAAACCCTAGTCCCTAAATTGAAATTAACAAAAGAAAAGGAAAAAGAGGTGAGAGATGAGGCATAAACCCAATCAATTTTGGTGTTGCCTAACAACTTCAACACTTCGGTGGTTTTGGTGGTTATTGTTTCGCAAAGACAAACCCAAGAGAGAGAGAGAGAGAGAGAGAGATGGTGATGGAGAGGGAGGAAAGAGAGAGAGGGCAATGGAGAGGGAGGAGAGAGACAGAAAGGGAAGAAAGGGAGAAAAAAAACTATAAAATCTCACTTTTTTTGTTTTTAATAATAGATGTGTTTTTGAATTTTTTTTTTGGGTTTGGGTTTTTAAAAATGGGCTTACCAAACAAGTTTTTGAGGCAAATTCGTTTTTGAGTTTATAAAATTGAATCTAAGTAGGATACCAAACATTCCCTTACTATTGTGGAACTTTACACACGGCGATACTACAAATTCGAGTTATCACCATGTCTTCACATGAATGCATGACGTTGTTGTTGGGCACACAATTGCTAGACCAGTTTCTAATAAGCCTCCATATAGTCACTACTATAGTATATATCAACTCAGACTCAATGCTATTTCGTTGGGGGCCTCATCAACAACACATAGTAGCACAACGTGGGGTATCACAGACTCCTTCACCCAAGTACTTTGACATCCTCGTCAGGCACATAGGGGGAAATTAGTTCAGGGGTATTTTGACGATTTAGCCAAGAAAGTTTGATGGGAACATTGTTGATTAAATCATAATTCACGACTCATTGCCGATAAAATACGAAAGTTAGCCTAAATAGGTGCCAATGATACAGGAGAAAGACTGCCATAAGAAATATTTTTCTTTTAAAACTAGAAGTTGAATGGGGCTCCATGGCCAGCCCATGGAGGTTTAGGGTACAACGAGGGGTTCGAATCAATAAATCTGCTCTTCCGGGGTTCTCTTTCTTCTTGTCAGGAACCAGTTGACCTCCAAAATTTGAACTTTGAAACAAAAACAAACATAAAAAAGTTATGTGGTTATTATGCGGTAAATTTGCAGTTTTGCAAATAAAAGGGGTTTTAAGCAAGTAACATGGTGACCAAGTAAGAAGAGAAGAACATTGTTTTGCTTCTTCTTTCTTACAACGAAGATCACAATCTAACACATACGAAAAATTGCCACGTTAAAACTACCCAAACAACAATTTTATGTACGCATATATGTATGGTGGAATAGTTCCGCATTAGTAAGGAGCCAATAGTTTTAGTTGGAATTGCTTGGCTCTTACATGTAAGCAATTGGTCTTCTTTACCTACAAATCACTGTACTCACACACATATAAAAACATCCAATTTTCCCCTTACTGAAATCCCCATTGAACTTGGCGCTAATTTCAATCTGCCAGTAATATTTCTTTTAAAATAATTGCCACTTGAACTAATAAAAATAGCTAATTTCTCCTATCGTCAAATTTCCTAATCTCTCTTCTAATTTGATGTTAAAAACTTCATGTGGACTTAATATATTGAAATTAATTTCATTTAATGAAGAAAAAAATAGAAAAAGCAAAACAAAACGAAACTTTTCCTCAACACAGTTCCCCACCAAGGACCACCAGTTATGGGCTATAGGCCAAATATTATTATGTAGGGTTGAACTTTTCCATCTCCATCGATGCACGACTATATTTTAGGGCCTTCCATATTTTATTATTTTGAGAACTATGATACAACACCCATACATTCCACTACTATATATTGTTTAAAGAAATGTGGAATGAAATTAGTGTGAAAATTTTTGAAGAAATTTGGAGGTATCTATAGATATATTTTAGGTTTTTTTAATGGTGAAACATTCAAAATACCAGAAAATGCCCTTGGTTAATGCAAACATTAAGAATTGAAATTATTAATTAAATGAAGATAATATGGTAAATTCACACTTTTTCATATTTAAAAAAATTAAAATTAAAAAAATATATCAGATAATGGCTTATTTTTATGGAACACAACTACCCATTATCTTTTTAATTCTAAAATAATTTTTAATTTTTTTTAAAAAAAGCCTCTCGCAGGCGCGGAAGCGCGTGCGGAGAGGCTAGTATAAGATAATATACCTAATTATTAGATAAATATAAGATAATATACTCAAATACTAGGTAAATAAAGACAGATCACAAACAACCAACATACATGGAATTGTAGGATATGGTGTAAGAAACTATGAGCCATTCAACCCACTCAACCTTATCGCTTTTTGCCGATCGAATAGAAGCCCCGAACTATAAGCCATTCAACCCAAAAGAATTACAACCTCGAAGACCCAATATGAATCTGAAAACACATGCAAGAAACTATGCAGAAAGATTTTTTTTGTTTTTTTGTTTTTTTTGCCACATCATCACTTAACAGAAGCGAGGGAGGAGAGTGAGAGAAAGGAGATATAGAATTTTATTTTAATATCTGCCAAAAATTTTAATTTTTTAATATTATTTCTTAAAAGTTAATTACACCTAAGCTATAAAAGTGGACCCCATATTTGCCACATCATCACTTAACAGAAGACCAAATTGTCAAATTGACGAAATGTGTAAATTGATCGAATTTTAAAACATCATGGCATAAATTGACAAAATTAAAATCCTATGGCCCATTTCAAGAAGGCTTAATTCCATATGCCCCTATGCTTCATCGAAAATCTCACTTTGCCCCATACATTTCAAACTCAGTCAATATGTTATGCCCCTTGTGCTTTATTTTTGCATCCCCTATTACCCTATTCCGTTAGTTTGATCAGTAAAACCGTTAACTTGTTAACATGGCATGGGTATTTTAGTAATTTTAACTATTAAAAATTCTCAAAATTTTAAAACAATTTTAAAACATTTGAATAATAAAATAAATTAGAAAATAAGGAAAAAATAAATCCCCAAGCACCCGAATAGCCCCCCACCACCACAACCCAACCCTCCCTCATCGCCAACAACCACCCCCATCCCATGCTTACCCTCCCCGTCTTGCGGCCACCCTAATTTCTCCTCCGCCATGGTAAAACAAATCGAAAACAAAATGAAGTCCTTTAACATGATGTAGAAAGAATAATTCCTTGTGTATTTCATTCCTTCCGTGAATAGTATTTATAACACAATGATAATTACAAGTGTCTTGCACACCAAGACAAATCATAGTTGACTTTCTATATTTATTAAGATGATGATGGAGAGATGTTAGGAATCGTGTGAGAGATTTGAGGGAGCGAGAGAATCTCGCTAACACCCCCTGCAAATTGGGCGACCTTGGCTGAACGAGTTTGGAGTGAAGCAGCGTGTGAAGAGCCTTGGTGAGCAAGTCAACTGGCTGATCAACAGAAGGAATGAAGAGGACACGGTGACCTCCAAGAGCCACCTTTTCACGGACAAAATGATAGTCAAGTTCAATGTGGCGGGTGCGAGCATGAAAGACGGAATTAGTGGCCATGTAGGTGGCACTAAGGTTGTCGCAATAGAGGAGGACTGGGAGGAGGATAGGGACGCCAAGTTCATGGAGGAGAGAGAAAATCCAGGTTGTTTTGGCACAAGAGTGAGCTAGAGAACGATACTCAAACTCGATGCTAGAGCAAGCAATGGTTGGCTGTTTCTTAGAACACCAGGAGATGAGATTGGATCCAAAATAGACGAGGTAGCCACTCGTGGAGCGTCGAGTGTCGGGGCACCCAGCCCAATCGGCGTCGGAGTAAGCACATAGGCGGGCTATGAGGGGCTGAGGGCGAAAGACAAGGCCGTTATCAAGAGTGCCTTTCACATAGCGTAGTATACGCTTGGCCGCAATGAGGTGTGGAGCACGGGGGGAATTCATGAACTGGGAGACGGTGTTGACGGCATAGGCGATGTCGGGGCGCGTAAGTGTGAGGTATTGGAGGGAGCCAACTATTTCTCAAAACTCAGTGGGGGATGCAAGGGTGGGACCGTCAAGGTGAGAGAGAGAGACCTTTGTGGCAAGTGGCGTGGAGACCGGTTTGTTGTGGGGAAGGTTATGTTTCTGCAGAAGGTCAACCGCATACTTGAGTTGGTGGACGTGCAGGTGGCCATTGTTGTGGAGAACTTGGAGTCCAAGAAAGTAGTGCAACGGACCAAGGTCTTTGATGTCGAACCCACAACCTAAGGCGTCGATGAAGCTTTGTAAAAGGCTAGGAGAGTTGCCGGTGATGATAATATCATCAACATAAAGGAGGAGATAGAGGGTATGAGCACCAACATTATAAACGAAGAGAGAGGAGTCACTGAGACTTTGTTTGAAGCCGGCAGCAAGAAGAAATGAGCTGATGCGGTTGAACCATGCACGAGGGGCTTGTTTAAGGCCATAAAGGGCTTTGTGGAGCTTGCAAACGTGATGAGGTCGATTCGGATCAGAGAAGCCAGGTGGTTGGGACATGTAAACATCTTCATGAAGAAGTCCATGCAAGAAGGCATTTTTCATGTCAAGTTGACGCATGGTCCATCCTCGGGAGACAGCAATGCTTAGGACGGTGCGGATGGTGGCTGGCTTCACGATGGGGTTGAAAGTTTCAGAGTAGTCGATGCCGAGTTGTTGGTGGAAGCCTTTGGCGACTAGACGGGCCTTGTGGCGCTCAATGGAGCCATCAGAGCGACGTTTGATGCGAAAAACCCACTTGCAGCCAACGGGTAATTGATGGGAGGGGGGCGGAACAAGAGACCAGGTGTTGTTCTTGAGAAGAGCATTGATCTCTTCAGACATGGCAGACCGCCATTCATGACTTTTGACGGCCTAAGTGAAGCATGTGGGTTCGAGGTTTGAGATTTGGTGGAGAAGAGCCTTGGGAAGGGGATATTGAACGGTGCCGTCGGAGTGGTGTTTAGGTTTGGTGTTGCCATCACGCAAGCGTGTGGTCATGGAGTGACGAGGGATTGCAGGTGGTACCAACTGGGAAGGAGGCAACGACTGTGTTGGTGGGGGAGGCGGCAGCAGATGCAGAGAGGGAGATGGAGGGGCAACCGGAGGGGACGGTGGGTCGAAGGTGTCAAGAGAGGGCGGTGAGCTTGTGAGTGGAGAGGGAGGCTCGGCAAAGGCCGAGGACACACCATGCAGTGTGGAGGAGGGCATAGGTGGTATGGGATTCGATAGAGTAGTAGGGGCCGATGAAGGAGAATAAGGCAAAGAGCGTGGGCTGGGCAGCATGGGCTGCAATGGAGTGGACACTGGCTGGATGTCCACGGGAACCCATGAAGGAGAAGGCTGTACCTGCAAGTTAGTAAACGAAAAAGAGTCTTCTTGAAAAATAACATGACGCGACACATAGACACGACCGGTGGGGGGATAAAGACAACGATAACCTTTGTGTTGAGGGCTATAGCCTAGGAAAACACACTCCAGAGACCGAGGGGAAAGTTTGTGAGACGTGTAGGAACCAAGGTGAGGAAAACATGAACAGCCAAAGACATGGACATGGGAGTAGGAGGGAGGGCGTTGGTAAAGAACGGAGAAGGGAGACTGCCAGTTTAGGGCTGGGGTAGGAAGAAGGTTGATGATATGAATAGCAGTGAAAGTGGCATCAGCCCAATAGGAAGGAGGTAGATAAGTTGTGTGGAGGAGGGTACGAATCATGTTGGCGATATGATGGTGTTTTCTTTCGGCTAGGCCATTTTGTTGAGGGGTGTGAGGGCAAGAGAAACGTTGTTGCATGCCATGAGAAAGACAATAGGAGGAAAAGGCATGGTTGACATATTCGGTTCCGTTGTCACTTAAAAGAGTATGGACGGGGGCAGAGAAAAGGTTGCGAACAAGGGAGACGAAAGTGATGAAGTGGGAGAGAACTTCATATTTGCGGCGCATGGGATAAAGCCATGTATAACGAGAGCATTCATCAGTAAACAAGACATAATATCGAAACCCACTAATAGAGGGGACATGAGACATCCATACATCAGAGTGGATAATTTGAAATGGAGAAGAAACATAAGCACCTTTATTAATGAAGGGAAGTTGGGTGGATTTGCATAAAACGCAATCCTTACAAAAAGAATGAGAAAGACTAGATTTAGAGCCTAAGGTGGACTGGAGACAGGAGAGGACAGATGTTGCCAGGTGGTAGAGTGAAGAACGGCAAGGGCAACAGGAGGAGTGGACGAGGAAACAGAAGCTGGGGGAACAGGATATAGACCATCTTCACAGGGGCCCTGAAAGAGTAAAGAACTGGTGAGTAAGTCAAAGTTTTGATAATAATTAGGAGCAAACAAGAAACAGACATGATGATCTTTTGAGAACTGAGCAACAGAAAGGAGTTTTTTCTGGAGAGAGGGAAGGCGATAGACATGTGGGAAGCGAAAGTGGGACGAGCCTAGAGTTAAGGGAAGAGTACCAGTGTGGGTGATATTCATGGAATCACCATTAGCCATGTAGTCATTGTGAGGTCCAGTGTAAGGGTACGGGTTCTGAAGTGGGGCAGCAGGTCCAGCCATGTGGTGGGTGGCGCCAGTGTCCCAAACGGCTTCGGTTGGACTAGGTGGGTGAGTGCTAGCAAAGGGCTGGTATTAAGTAGGGCCAGAGAACCGATGAGGGCAATGAGCCTGCGGGTGCTGCGAGGTGCCACAGGTGGCACACCAGGTAGGAGACGGCCTTAAGAGACAAGGGGAAGGGTTGAAGCCAAAATGTACCAGTGCGGGGGCATGGGGAGGCCATGGAGTAAACCAGGATGGAAATGGGGCAAGAGATTGGCCATGATGCGGACCAGGATGTTGAGGGGACTGAGATTGGCGCCGGTTGTTGGAGTAGGTGCGGTAAGACTGAGAGCCACGCCCACGACTGTGCCACGGCCGCGACCATTGCCATAGTTGGAGGAAGAGGGAGATTGGTGGGATGTGGTAGTGTAGAGGGCAGTATGAGGAAGTGGTTGAGAGGAGGCAGAGAAATTGGGATCCTGGGCTTCAAAGGCCAAGATACGAGAACGTAGGTCTGAGAAGGATGGGAGAGGGGGTGTTTGGAGAATGGCAGTGCGAAGCGTGAGGTAGTCGGAGCCAAGGCCCCGAAGAGTGGCAGTAACAAGATATTCAGGGTCAACAGGTTTTTAGATGGCAGCAAGGGAGTCAACAAGAGATTTGGCATGCTGGAGATATTCGTCAACTGTTTTGGAACCATTGGTCATGTCCATAAGCTGTAATTGAAGGGAAGCAGAGCTAGCCAAGGATTTTTAGGAAAAGTGACGTTGAAGGCAGTCCTAAATGTCTTTGGAAGACTCGCATCCAATGGTCAGATAGATGATTTGCTTAGTGAGAGTGGTAGTGATGTAACTCACAACCAACTGGTCGTGGTGGTGCCACACCGCAAACTCGAGATTTGAGATGGTGGCAGCAGTGGGAGATGCAGATGTTTCAGAAGTAGTGGATTGGGGAGTAGTAGAAGTGACGGAGAGAGTGGGAGAAAGGGGGGGGGGGGGGG